CGGCTTAGGTCACAATCCCAGGGTCCTGGGATTGAGCCCTGTGTCAGGCTCTGCGCTGAGCATGGAGCCTGCTTAAGATTCTTTCTCTCCCCCCACCCCTCCCCCCTGCTTACACATTCTCTCTAAAAAAAAAAAAAAAAAAAATTGAAGTACTTTTGTATTATCTTTAACTGTCCCCCCCCACTGTGAGAGGGTGGAACATAATGACTTGTCATCTGTATATTCTGGATAGTTTAAAAAATATTCTGTTCAAAAGATCAATCTTGACTGTTACCAAGGTTTTCAACTATTTTGAGACATCTAATAGTAATTTTTAGTTCTAAAATTTAATGTGAAAATTAATTGGAAAAAGAATAGACCATCTCTTAATATGGTCTAAAGTAGGATTTTTGAACATAAATACACAGAAAAACCAACTAAATTTCCTTTCCTTTTTTTTTTTCTTTTTTTCTTACAGTTTTATTGCATTTCACACTCCTGTATATTTAATGGACTAGACTTAAGATGGAAATCAGGAGTATATATTTTAAAGAATCTAATGTGTAAGAAAACTAAGTAATGTCAGGCAATTTTTTGGGGGTGGCTGTACCATTTTATACACCCACCAGTAACATATGAAAGGTCCGGTTGTTCCACATTCTCACCCAAACCAGATATTATTAGGCTTTTTAATTTTAGCCAGTCTGGTGGGTGTAGTGGTACCTTACTGTGGTTTTAATTTGCTTTTACTGAGGAGTAAGGGTGTTGAGTACCTTTACATTTGCTTATTAGTCGTCTGGATGTTGTCTTCTGAGAAGCGCCTACCCGAGTCTTCTGCCTTTTTTATTGGGTTGTGTCTTTTTCTTTCTGATTTGAAGGAGTTCTTATGTAATTTGGATATGAATACTTTGTCAGATGTATGTATTCCAAATATTTCATTGGGCTTTTCACTTTTAATAGTGTTTTATTGTGAATAGAATTTCTCAATTTTAATGAATACCAGTTATTAATTTTCATGTAGTACTTCTTGTGTTCTTCAGAAGAAATTTTCTTGGACTGCATTTTGGAAAATGCTGAGACAAGAACCATTTTCTGGCTGACAAGAACTATTTCCTGGTTGACAGGGAAAATAAAAGGTTTCTTTCTGAGTAATCCCCCTAACATCTCTCATTTTGTCAGCAGTTCTACCTCCTCTAGGAATCCCCCTGTTTGTCTCTTTTCAGCATATTGAATTTGGGGCTCTGAATTTTACGTTCCTAATGTTAATAAGCACATAGTTGTCTTTCTACTGTGGTAAATGCAGTGGGCTGTAGCTAACTTCTTTCAGTGACTTAGGGCAGTATTTCCCAATTTTTCCACAGAAGTATCCTAGCCTAAGAGGAGAGTGAATGCAGGACCTCAGGGGTATCTAGCGTCCTGGCCAGGCCTGAAGTAGCCATTGAAAGCAAGGGACGTCTTTGAACTCTTCTGTGTGTGCTGCTTTAGGAATATATTTAGGAATATAGCTTTCATTTGAAAGTAGCATTTAATTGATTCTACCTTTCACTCCAAAATTTAAAGTGACATTGAGGGAGGCTGCAGGAGGTTATATCATGTTTATTCAGCTTTGAAGTATCTCAGGTAGCCCCAGGCTTAGGGTTTTTAGATATTGCCTTTACTAATCTGTTTACCAGTCCAGTGTGGTTAAGAAACTTGCACAGTAATTACTGGTAGAGGCAAAACAGTATCTCAGGTCTCATTGCTCTGCATCCCATACTATCTGATCAACAGAGTACTAAGGTGAAATCATGGGATTATACCTTGAAACAACAGAAAAGAGCTGAATGAATAAATAAATACACAATAGTCTGAGAAAATGAAAAAGTGTGTTTTTAGTGGACCAAGAATTTTGAGGAATTTCTGGGAGAGAAAAGCAGTTAGATATTTTATTTTATTTTATTTTATTTTATTTTATTTTATTTTATTTTAT